CAGTGACGTTTACATAATAATACTAAACTTTTGCAGTAAACTTTCCACTCTATATATCGGCTTTATTGAAAAACTTTATAATCATAGTGTTAAAACGCTCCTCTACTAAAATATTCTGGTTTATTATGAATGATATAAAGATTAAAAATTAGCTTTATTAATTATGTCTTTGTTTTTACAGGAAACGAGTGGTTGGCCAATGCAACTTTTAGCAGTGGCATGCTTGTCTTTAGCTGCAAAGATGGAGGAAATTCTCGTTCCTTGTCTTTTTGATTTCCAGGTACATTTTGTTTTCTTTTAGAATCTGATATTTTAGAATGTTTTTATTGATCATGTCGACTCTGTTAATGTATATATGGTAATGTACAGGTTGAAGGAGTGAAGTACATATTTGAAGCTAAAACGATAAAAAGAATGGAACTTCTTGTTCTGAGTGTGTTAGATTGGAGACTAAGATCAGTCACACCCTTCTGCTTCCTCAGCTTCTTCGCTTACAAGATCGATCCTTTAGGAACTTTTCTCGAGTTCTTTCTCTCCAATGCAACAGAGATTATACTATCCAACATAAAAGGTACGTATAACAATCTCAATTACGCTCCAACAAACAAATATGAAATACCAAACTAATGCCTATATTGGAAATGTCTATACAGAAGCGAGCTTTCTTGAGTATTGGCCATCGAGCATAGCTGCAGCTGCGATTCTCTGTGTAGCCAACGAACTCCCTTCTCTATCCTCTGCTGCGAATCCGCACGAGAGCCCTGAGACTTGGTGTAACGGATTGAGCAAAGTAGAAATTTTTTTTAACTTTGGATGGATCCGAATGTATATGTTTTGAGAAAACAGGGGAGTATCCTAATTATTATGTCTTATGTTTATATTTTCAGGAGAAGATTGTGAGATGTTATAGGCTGATGAAAGCAATGACGGTAGAGAATAACCGAAGAAATTCACCAAAAGTGATACCAAAGCTACGAGTAAGCGTAAGAGCAGCATCGACTTTGTCGAGGCCAAGTGATGAATCATCTTTC